CCATCAGGTCTAAGGGAAATGCACAGACATAAAGATAGGAGGCAGAGCCAAAGGGTCTGTGGCCTGGTGGGCAGTGAAATAAGAGTAAGGCAAGCAAGTCATGCAGGATCATAAACTGTGCTGCAGGAGCCCTGCTGCCTTGTCCGTTGCTCTATCCCAGCACCTCAGAAATCCCCGGCATGGCCCATCACAGGCACTCAAGATTTATTTGTTGAATGAATAAATGTCTTGGGTGATTGCCACAAGTTGGGGTTGACATTTTTGAAGCTTACTGTCCTAGGCTACATAACTCGGAGCCAATTCATAGCCAATGCATTGAAAGGCACTGGGCTTTCTGCTCAGGGCAACAGAAGCTACTGAGTTATGCCGGTTGCTGCCCTGCCTGGGATTTGTCAGGTGTCTCTGCCTGTTCCACGAGGGCTTGTCTCATCTCGCCACTTAGCTTGTCAGCCTCATGTCTCTTCCTAGAACAGTGCTGGGAATGCAGCTGGGACTCCACAAGCACTAATTGGTTCTGGCTGAATTGAGATAAGATGCCCTGGGTAACTCCTGCAGTTTGTTATGAGTTGTAAACTGTTCCTCCCCTAGTTAGAGAATATTGCTTCCTTGACCTTCTACATTTTTTTAAAATACATCCTTTCGTGGAGAAAAAAAATATGAATTAGAAGCTTGCAGCCAGGTATTCAGCTTAACAATTATGACTGAATTACATAGTTCATCACATCTTAGAATGTGTAATGAAACCACAGCCTTTTGAAGTTGGTTTCCGTGACATGCTCTATCTTGCTGCTTTTCTTAAAAGAACATGCAGAAGTGAATCCTACCAGCTTCTGAGGCAGCAAGTCATTGTGGGACTTCACAACTACCCTCCAGCGCCAAGAGAAAATTTGCATTTTTCAATAGTAATTCAGTTATTACTTTAAGAAGATAAGTTTTATTTAGATATAATTGGCCATTGATTTAACATCATTTTTTTTTTACATACAAAAATCAGAAAATTGTTCCAGACATAATCTATTGTTATCATCTTGACAGATATCCAGATTTGATTTTATAGAGTGAGAGATGTGTATTCTAACTACACCCGAGCCTTGATCTGAAACAGGATTTCTCAGGTTGGGCACTATTGACATTTTGGAATACATAATTCTCTGTTGTGAATTATAATTCTCATAATTCTCTGTTGCGAATTATAATTCTCATAATTCTCTGTCCTGTCCTGTGTTGTACAACATTTAGCAGCATCCTTGACCTCTATTTACTAGATGCCAGTAGCACCCTCCCACCCTCATTGTGATGACAAAAAATGTCTCCAGACACTGCAAAATGTCCCCTGGGGGGCAAAATTTACTGATCTAAAATAGTCCTCATGCCCAGTGTGGTGCGGCCCTATTTTAAGGAGGTCTCTTGATTCTCCAGAATCTTTCCAACTGTACTACCTTAGTGTGATAGTAAATTGGGTAGCATTTTCCCCCGTTTTTTAAGAAATATATTTGACTGTGCTTTCTTTCCCCCTTTAATACTAGACCTACATTAAATTGTAGACTCCTTAAGGGTAACAACTGTGCTTTCTCTTGCTTTA